CGGTTTGATTCCCACATGGGCCAGTGATACTGTGCCCTCTACAGCTAAGATGGTGAACAACAGCTCGACCTGAAGCTGGGCTGCCATGAGTCGCCGGCAATGGCATAGGCTGCGGTGGGCTGCTGTGAGCTACCGTGAGTGGCCAGCAGCCAGTGAGAGCTGCCATGAGCAGCTGTCCAACAGTTGGCGAGCGACTGCCTCATTCCGGAAGAGGGCAATGATAATACCAACATGGGCCAGTGAAGCGGCGTCCTCCACAACTAAACTGAAGAACAAAAGGACAGCAACTTGTCCGTTCCCCTTCCCCAATTCCCCAACACTGTTCCCCTTCCCCAATTTCCCAATTAAAAAAAAAGAAAAAGAAAAAGAAATGATAAAGGAGGATGTCACCACAGCTCTGACCAACTTTTAATGATAACAAGGGGAAAATGATAAACAATGCCATGCCAATAAAATCAGCAACTTGGATGGAATGAATAAATTCCTTGAAAGAGGTAAATTACCAAAAATGACACAAGGAGAAACAGCAAATCTGGATATCTATATATTTCTTAAATAAATTTAAGGAAATTAAATTTTCATACTGAAATCTTTTCACAAAGAAAACTCCAGGCTCTGCTGGCCTCACTGGTAATTTCTAACAAACATTTAAGGAGAAAATAAAATCAATCCTACACAAATTCCTTCAGAAAACAAGGGAGGATGGAACACTTCCCAATTCATTTTATGAAGCAACATAATACTGATACCAAAACCAGACAAAAACAATATAAGGGAAAAAAGGGACTAAAATTCCTCATTAATATAGATGCCAAAATCCTTAATGAAATATTAACCCATCAAATCTAATACAATACATAAAAAGGATCAAGTGGGGTTTAATCCTAGGAATGCAGGGGTATTTAACATTCAAACATCAGTTAATATAATTCACATTGACAGAATAAAGGAGGAAAATCATAAGAGAATCTCAGTAGATGCAGGAAAAGCATTTAACAAAGTTTAACATCCATTCATGGTAGGGACACTCAGCAAACCTAAATAGAAGGAACCATCCTTATCGAATAAAGGCCACCTATATAAAACCTACAACTAACATCATACTTAGTGGGGAAAGGCTGAACGTTTTCCCTCTGGTATAGGAAAACAAGGCAAGGATGCCCACTCTCACTACTTCTGTTCAACGTTATCACGTGTTCTAGTCAATACAATCAGGCAAGTGAAGGTAATAAAGGGCATAAACATTGGAAAGGGAGAGGAAAAACTATGTTTATCCACAGATGTTACGACTACCTATATAGGAAATCCTAAGGAATATACAAAAAGAGAAGGAAAAGGAAAGGGAGAAGATGATGAAGGAGAAGAAAAAAGGAACAAACGAACGAACATAGAAACAAAAGAAAACCTATTAGAACTAATAAATGAATTTAGCAAGGCTTCAGAATATAAGATCAATACAGAAAAACTAATTGTCCTGTGTTGTAACAACCAACTAGAAGATGACATTAAAAAATGTTACCCTTTGTAATAGCATCAATAAAACAAAACACAGAAATACATTAATGAATGATGTATAAGACTGCTACAAAATTTTACCAAAAAAAATTAAAGAAGATCTAAATAAATAGAGAGTTTATACTATGCTTGTGAATTGGAAGACTCAGTATTATTATTAAGATATCTTCTCCTCAAAATGATACATTGATTTAACACAGTCCTAATCAAAATTCCTGCAGGCATTTTTGTAGAAATTGAAAAAAAATTGATAATCCTTTGATATTGATGTAAGGATCAACAAATATATAAATTCAAATTCAACAGGCAATGAATAGACTTATAACTGTTAAACCTACCACAGGGAACCAACTCAATTTCCCTGGAGATTAGTTGCTAAAGCTAACGGAGTCTGTTAGCTTTATTGTGTATTGTGTATAATAATCTCAGCTGTGAATTCTAATCAACCTTTTGATGAGATGAAAAGATTAAAATATTGTAATAAAGAAAGTATGCTTTCTTTTGTTTTTCATGTCTACTTGTAGTAAATACAAAATCAGGTAGAGTCCTGGTAAACCACCAGATAATCCCATTTTATTGTTTTTTTGAAGAATAGGACAATCAAGGATTTTGGTACTACTCCTCTTTTCTGGGTTCTATATAATTTACTTTATGAAATAGAAAAAGTTTGTACCACATAAAAGGCACTTCAGATGCAACCGGCAAACTGGAAGAGTGATGGT